TCCATCCAAAGGGAATTGGCCCAGAGAAAGGCCCCAAAGCCTGCCACGGTCTAAAGCACCTTCCAGTGGGGACCCACAGAAAAGGAGCAGAAACAACCAGACAAGTCTGGAGGGAAAAGAGCAAAATCAATATCAAGACAAAAACCACCATGGTCACCTCACCACGGGTCTCACCCACATCTGTGTCACCCTGTCCACGACCAAAGGACAAGTGCAGTTTCTTCACGTGTCTCTAGGCTCCATGTGCCTTCTCCAGGTCTCCTGGCTCCATCCTGCTTCCTTCCTTCCTCAGTCTCTTCTGCAACTTCTTCTCTCCCTGCTCAGCTCCACCTTCCCTTGGGTGGGGCAGGGAACCTGGAACCTCCCCCTTTCCTGGGGACCACCCAGTTACAAAAGGTCAAAGTACCAACTGCTCTACAGTAAAATGTGATGATGAATTTTGTCCATTGGGGTGGCCTGGAAGGCAGCCCTTGATGGAAGACTCCACTGTCCCAAGTTTTAGATCCAATGCAGGAGCTCGTCGTTCCTTCCCAAATCTGGATTTTTTTGTGATGTTGGTTTCTCTCAAATTAGGCCCATTTCTTGTTTTGGAGACCAGGAATTATATTTTAGATCAGTGTTGCTTCCATAGTTTGGGGGCACTTGCTTAATTAGAATGCATGCATTATACTACAAGTCATTCAGGTTTTTGTTTCCTGGTCAAAGAGAAGTCTGTGTCCTGCCATGCCCATGTATCCCCCACCCTCTCCTGCTGCACACAGAGAAGGGACAACCAGTTTCCAGTTTTACTTCCTGCTGCTTTTCTCCTATGCCTTTTTAGCACCTGGTGTGACAAGTCTGTGTGGTTCCATATGAAAAATGACATGACTGCAGTAGTTGTCATGAGAATGAATTACACATATACGAAGTATGTCAAATTTTGTGTAGAAATGAAGAAAAAATCACTTCACCTCATTCCAAGTAGTAGGCTCCCACTTTATTAGCCCATGTTTACCTTAATCTCACCAAAGCAGAGAAGATCCCTCTGCCTAGATATACCTGGGCCATCTCTACATTTGGCAGCTGCAGTGGCCCCTGCCAGAAGACTGAGAATTCTAGACAACAGATGACAAAGATGTCATTTCTCAGAGTTTGGGCTAAGTCACAACCAGGTAGATGTGGTACGGTGTGTGTGACCAAAACGTCTAAATTCTACAGAAATGCTGATGCACAACATTCAGAGTCCTTTGTCATGTTTATTCAAGTTCAGGCTTCTTGAACACTCTCTGAGTCTACATCTCCTGGGTGAATTCCTGTGAGGTGACTTGACCTGTGACTGCTTCTGCAGCAGGGATGTGGCCCAGCCAAGGCTGTGCAAAATGAGATCACCATATCGAAGTTGGTGTTTGGACTTCCTCTGAATGGCATCCTAATTCTGGAAACACATTTCTCTCCTGATTTTACTCGAGTTCTGTCTTCTTTTGAACCAACCAAACGCTCCCTTCAGCCTTGAGTGAAAATGAAACACTAAAAAATGTTAGGAGCACTTCTTAAGCAATTACAGATTAATTCATTTCTTGATCAATATTTGTGCTCAAATTTGATGGGGGTTCCACTCCAGAATTATGTTCTAGAACATCTATGTATGTAAGTCCCATTGTCTCTGATCTGTGCATACTGGCCATCAATGCTTTGGAAGAAGGACATACTGGACAATTTTCTTGTCTTTTTTTTTTTTTAAAGAGGCATGTTTTATTTATTTGTTTATTTATTTGTTTGTTTGTTTATACAAGCACTGGGTACAGTCAGAAGCGCGGGAGGGTGAGAGAATTCACCAGAGCCAGAGCAGGGAGCAGAGCAGGCAGAAGGACCGAAGTACACTGCTGAGGGGAGCAGCGGGCGGCAGGAGAGGTCTACACACCATGTGAGACCCTCGTCTGGTGGCCGGGGAACAGCCGGGGATCGAACCTGCGCAGCAGATGCCGCGGGCAGCTTCACAACCCAGCGCTCAACCGCTGCACCACTGGGGAAGCCCTTAATTTTTTTTTTAATAGAGGCATGTTTTATTTGTTTGTTTGTTTTGTTTATACAAGCACTGGGTACAGTCAAGGGCAGGAGAATGAGAGAATTCACCAGAGCCAGAGCGGGGAGAAGAGCTGGAAGAAGGACCGAAGTACACTGCTGAGGGTAGCAGCGGGCGGCAGGAGAGGTCGGCGCGCCATGTGGGACCCTCCGCCAGTGGCTGGGGAGCAGTCGGGGATCGAACTGGCACTGCAGAGGCCACAGGCAGCTTCACAACCCAACGCTCACCCCCTGCGCCACTGGGGAGGCCCATACTGGACAATTTTCAAGAACGCCAAGGGGTCCTTAGTAACAGCAGCTGATAGGGCCTATGTCCACAAAGCCTGCGGGCGCTTAGCAGTCCTCAGTCTTGAATTCCTCCAAGTTCTAATATCCTTTCAGAGCACACTGAGGGGTGGAAATCAGACAAGGGGTATCTGAGACTGCCTTGGATCTGGTGAATCACTCGGGACCCCAACATCAAGGACCAGCAGGAACAGTAGCTAAAGAGATTATTGGTGGGAACAAGACCTGTGACCCACTCTTTCTAGGTCTTCTGAGACTGCCCACCTGGAACATGGGCGTTCACAGGGGAGCCTGGAAAAGTCAGTCAATCTTCAATGTGCTCGGCTAAGGAATCTGGACTTGACATTTAGGTTTCCTCAGGCACCAAAGAGTATCTGGGAAGAGCAGCTGTGAATCAGTCTGGCTCTGAAGTGCTAGAACTATATGCATTAGAGAAGAAGCAAGTGGGATGGAAGGGATGAGAAAAGAGGATCACTGGAGGTGATGGGAGGCAGCATGGACGCTAGAGGGAAGGAGCTGACCTGGAGTCCATGTCAAGGGTAAATGGATCAGGGGGAGACAGATGAAAGGCACATCTAAGACATGTAAGATTCAGGCAATAAGTAAGCATTACATGAGTTGTCTGGAATATGGTTCCTCTGTGGCTGACAGGCCTTTATCTGTGTTCTGAGAACAGCTTGTATGAGGGGGATGGCACATGAGAAGGAATGAGGGAGGAATTCTTCTGGGAACTTTCAAAAGTCTGGCTGATTCACTTCTAGAGCTCATCAAAGCTATCAAGCTGTTGGCGTTTGCTAGAAGAATTTTAATACCAACCGTACATGGAGTGCCACATGCCCCGGGTAGACCTGGGATCACATCCTCCCTTTTAGTTGCTTTCCTGTTGTGTTTTTCCCAAACCTGTGGTCTTAAAGTATTCGTCGCCTGCCACATCATCCTTTCTATCAGTCCCCTAACCCAGGCCCCTGCCCACACTTTCCCCTCGGGCATCAGTCATGAAGGCTCTTCTGTGTAGGCAGCCTCTTGTCTCCTCTCAGCTCTCAGGTGCCCTGCCTCCAGGCCTCACTCGGCACCAGAGCATTTCTTTTTTCTTTCAGTAGTCCCCCTAGCTCTCCCACCGCCACATCACCCATGAACCATAACTGTGTTTTCCTCTCCTGTCTCGCCCCCCTCACTCTCCTTCCTTTGCTGTGCACCTCAGCTCTGTGGTCAGTTTGCTAGTTTTGTCTTTTTCTTGATTTTTTTTTTTTGGTTTCTCTATATTCCACATATCAGTGAGACCGTCCGCTATTTATCTTCTTCCTTCTGACTTACATCGGCTAGTGTAGCCTTCCAGCTCCATCCTTGTTACCGAAGATGGCGAGAGTTTGTCTTTCTTGATCCCTGAGTAACATTTCATCCTGTGCCACTGCACTGGAGCATTTATGAAGAACATCCCTGGGAAGAGCCCAGCAGGAGTGGACCTGCCTCAGCTGTGTCAGTCTTTGGTCTCAGCTGTCCTGAGACTCCCTGCTCTCTCCTCAGACCTCTCCGGGGTCTTCCCTCTCACCAGCTGGCCTGTGACCTCCAAGTGTGTCCCCCACTTGTTTATAGTGACTTCTTGCTTTCATTCATTGTAACAGGCCTCGGACATGGGCCTCTGGACCTGTTTTTCTGGACATTTCTGTACATTAGTATCCTCCTCTTTGCATGAGCAAGTGAAGGCAGCCCTCTTTATTCTATCACTTGGTCTCACCCTTCCCAGCCTGCTCTGCGGGAGGCTGCACCTCCCATGCTGTCTCTTGACATCGTCGGGGCATTAGGAGAGACTCTGAGAAGCGGGGTCCCTGTGCTCCCCTGAAGAGGGAAAGTTGTACTTCCCAGAAGAGGGGAGTTCTTGCACCTCCCAAAGAAGATCTGAACTAGGGAGTCTCCATGGCAAAGCCTGCTGAAGCTCTCCTCTTTGTTCCTAGTTAATGCTGAAGTAAGTTAGCTATTCATTGGCCTGTGAAAACCTAAATCGGACCCAGGTGACAATTGGCTTATTGTTCTTACACATGAACTGTCACAAAAGAAGTAAAAATTGTTAAAGATATAGTTAGGAAAGAAAGGTTTTGACCCTGAGAACTCTGGAGAACAAGCTGCCCTGAACCAGCTGTGCTTGGAAATCATAGCCTAGCCCGGGGGGTACCTGTTTGCAGCAACAGCACATCTCCTGGTGTATGCGAAAAGTTAACAGTGTGCAGGTTGTGTGGAGGTTCGGTATTTCTAGTTGAAAGTTAGATTTCTGTCGAACTAAACAGTATTAATGAGTTACTTTAGATCACTTTGAAGTAATTGATAATGGGCTAGAGGAATTGAGTACTAGGGAATGGGTTGATTTTAGTAATATAGCATAACAATGGACTTTCATGTCCACTCAGAAATTAGGAAGGCTTGACAGGGTGATTGATTGTTACTGAACATTGTACTGTCTTAGAAAATGGATTACGTTAGAAAAAGAGTTGTACCTAAGGGAGTCATTGTCCCTGTAGATTTTCTTAATCAGATTAAGGAAGTGTCCTTTTGTAGTATGAGATCAAGAGGGTCTTTGTATGTTCATGAGAAAATATGTAATGATTGTCTCTGTTCTGCTTTGATGCTTATACTGATATCATCTCACCACTGGCCTTAAGGTATAAAAAAAGACCTGCTGAGACCCTCAGGAGGAGGTACTTGCATGAGAGACGGTGTCTGTGTCTTCCTCACTCCTACCTGGCTCCACTTCCCCTCAGCCCTCCGAAAAATTTCATCAAGGCGGTCCTCTCCTGCTGCAATCCCTGACACGACATCTAGTTGGAATTGGTCTCCAACCTGTGAAGATTCCCCACCTTGAACATTCCCTGTTCACTGAACTCAGCCCTTTATCCTTCAATTAGACGGGAGTATGGAATCAGGGAAGAGGTAAAATGCATCTTGATTTTCCCTAATTCTAACTGAAATTTGGCATTTTATTTAATGGTGGCATCAAATTACAGTTGTAGTAGCAGTGTCTGTGATTGTCCTGCCAGCAGAACCACATGTATTTTCAGCTCTCATGATTGGTTTTGCTTTTACAGTTGACTGGCCTGGAATCTCTTCTTACCCCTTTGGCTTGGCCCAGCCCCTCAGCGCCTGAGGTGGTTTTGGGATCCCTGGCTTCCCACCATCAGGAAGGTGGTGATTTTGTCCTGGGCACTAGGTGGCGCCAGAGATCTTTCCTAGTGTCCTTCCAGAACTGCGGGGTTTTTTCCGTGGGCCTCGGGGGAATAGAGTGGGGGTGATGGGGTTTTTGGAGTGCGAGGTCCTGGGGTTCACTCTGGGAAATGTTTCCCCAGACCCTGTTTGAGCAGCACCCGGGAGTTTCCCAGGTTGCTTCTCCACGAGACAGAGACGTTAGTTGTGTTTACAGGGCTGGTTTCTCAGGGAAAGGGAAGGGGACAGGTTTGCTTAGAGAGGCCTGCGCGGTTGCAGGCGGGCGGCCTTGAGGAGAGCGGCCTCCGCCTAGGGAGATCAGTGGAGACGTCCTGGCAGGTACAGTCCACCAGCCAGGAGGCTGCTGCCCCACAGAGGTGAGAGCTGGTGAGAAGAAGCTCCTGGGTGGTCCCGGGCGGGCTGGGGACGGCTGCCCCGGGCCTGTGCGGAGCCTGCCCTGCCACAGTCCCTTTCTCCTTGGGAGGCTCACTCCTCCGTGGAGCGGCTGCTTGTTGCGAATGTTGGGCAACAGGCAGCACTAGAAAGGGACCAGAGATCCTGGGGTGGGCCAGTCTCCACATCCTTCCCCTCAGGGCTGTGCCCCACTCCCTAGAGCATCGGATCCTGCTCGCCTCTCCTGCCTCGTGACAAGGCGCTGGCACCTGAGGGTCCATCCTCCACAGCTGGGTTAATGGTCATGTGCATTTCCTCCATCCCCACCTCCTTGTGTGAGTCAGGTTTTGGCCTTGGGGCACATCCTTTCCAGTCTTTCCATTCTTGTCCTCCATCATCCCCCCATGACCATATCCAGCCCAAAATCTTTTGGGGAGTTGAAGGGAGGATGTCCATTTTCCGTAGCTGCTTCCTGCTGGAGTGGGATGTAGAGCTGGCCCTACCTCCAAGGGCCCGGGAGATGGTCTCCCTGACACGAGTCCCTGAGCTGTCTGTTGGTGGTTCTGGAAGGAGGCGAGGGGGGGCATCTGGAGTGCATGGGTGGGGCATCTGGACAGGCTGTTCCTCTTGTACGGGTGAGCTGTTTGTTGGGAGGAGGAGTTTAAACTTGAGGCGCTCCCCCTAGGTTAGAAGAAATAAATTTGAGTAGGAGATTGTGTATGTTAAGATTTAAAAAGGAGAATGAGAAGTACAGCAGCAACTAAGGGCCCTCGGTCACAGGTGAAGTTGTAACGGGGATCCCCAGAAAGGGGGAGGTTCCAGGTTCCCTGCCCCACCCAAGGGAGAGTGGAGCTGAGCAGGGAGAGAAGAAGCTGCAGAGGAGACTGAGGAAGGAAGGAAGCAGGATGGCAGAACCTGTTTAGAGCAGGCAGGTTTGCGGGGTCTGGGCTGCCCCTCTCCCTGCCCTGTAGCAAAGTCATTGGGGACAGCCGCTGAGTGGTAGGCTTAGTAACAAGAGGAACAGTAGTAAAATGGCAAGTTTTGGGGTTGTGACATGAGAGTACATTTCACCAGGGAAGCGACCCATTTTTAGAGTGCTGTTAGACTAAAAAGAATGTCGGTGGTATATTTGTTCCTAGCAGAGGAGCTGTTCTAAATCCCGTGTGTCCCTAGTTAGGGCAACACCCACCCGGGGAGCCCTGAAATGCTGGAGTAAGGCACATTGCCAGGAACTCTGCGGGAGGGTTGGCTTGCTGTGTGTGCAGAGTCGCAAGGCCAGTGAAAACTACTGGTTTCTTAGTTTAGTTAGGGACAGTGTTGATAGCATGATCACTGGGAGGCTAGTCAGACTCTCAGGAAAGTTGGGTGAGATTTAAAGTCAAGTTAGAGTGAGGACCGCAGTCCACCTTTTTATTTATTTATCTATTTGTTTATTCTTTAAAGATTTATTTATTTTTATACAAGAACTGGGGTACAGGCCAGATGCTTGGGAGGGTGAGAGGATTCACCGGAGACAGAGTGGGGAGCAGAACAGGCAGACTGACTGAAATACACTGCTGAGGGGAGCAGCGGGGAGACAGGAGAGGTCTGCTGTACACCTGGGTATCTCCCTGGCCGGGGATCCAACCTGCGCTGCAGTGGCCATGGACAGCCCCATAGCCTGCGTCCCAACCCTTGTCCCACCAGGGAGGCGCCATAAAATGATTTTTTAAATATTTATTTATGCATACATGATCTGAGGTACAGGCCAGAGATGCAGGGGGTGAGAGGATCCACCAGAGAGAGTGGGGATGAGAACAGCAGATTGACTGAAATACACTGCTGAGGGGAGCAGCGGACGAGACAGGAGAGGTCTGCTGCACCATGTGGGTTTCTCCCTGACTTGCAGGGATTGAACCCGTGCTGCAGAGGCTGCGGATTACTTCATGGTGCGGCCCTCAACCGCCTGCGTCACCAGGGAGGCCCCATAAAAAGATTTTTAAAGACGTTTTCCGACGTTGGCCTTGGTCCCATCCTTCTCGCTGTTTCCAAGATCTGTGGCTCAAAAACAGTTTCCATCAGAGCCCTGGGGGCAGGAAGGGGTGCCCTGAAAATTCAGTCTGCCCTTTGAGCCCCACTGCCCCGTGACGCTTCGCTGAGGGCACGCTGCAGTTCACCCACCTTGCATGCAGCAGCCAGGCCACCGGGGCTAACCTTCGTTCAGTGGGGAGGAGCAATGTGTCTTCAGAGCTGTTCGGTAACTTCTGCTAACTGGGAAAATGTCAATCCTTCCCTCTCATTGTTTAAACAGCTTCTCTCTGTCTTGGCCAGAAGATGGCGCGGGGGCTCCAAGTGCTGCTCCCAGTGGCGTTAGAAGAAAATCTTGTGGGAGAGAAATTGCTGGGTAAGTGCAGAGGAGCCTCCACCCAGCCCTGTGATGCGCACAAACCGGGAAGGAATTTCGAATAGTGGGGGGTGTCAGGTGTCTCGTCCCCACACACATCTCTTCTCCAGGGAGAGACGAGCAGACTCCGGGTGGGTCCTTGGACCACAGTGGGTGCCTCCCTTGGGGCAGGGAAGGCTCTGGGGGGACAGCAACCGGGGAAGGTCGGGGGTGCCAGCTCCGATCAGGGGAGATGGACCTGCAGACCCCTGTGATTTCCCTTCTCCCTGGGGCAGTCCCGGGCAGGGGAGATTCAGCTCCTGCTTTCAGGGGTGTGGGAGTCGGTGTTCATGACCCAGCTTTTTCTCAAGGGCCTGTCCTGCACTGAATCTAGGGCCACAGCGGCATGTGGGGGGACTATTCTTCTCCCTTGCAGGTGGAGGGGTGCACGGAGGTGCCACCTGCTGGGGTCTCCCCTTCCGCTTTCCCGTGGACATCCCTGGCCAGCTGGAGACTCCCGTGCAGAAGCCACCCTCTTGGGCAGGTGTTTGCCCCAGGGATGTCCCCACAGTGGGTCTGGGGATCACTGCAGCATGGGCAGGAATGAAAGAGGCCGGGGGGGGACAGAGACCCCTCGTGGCTCAGGCCCCTTGTTGGGGCAGGTCCGTTCCAGGACAGACATGCGAGATGGCGGAGACCCCGACAGCAAGTCCCCAAAAATTCTGTAGCCTGAGGGCAAGTCAGGTGTGTCCGCTTCCCCCACAGCCCCTGGAGGGGGGACTTGCAGAGAGGATGCCGCAGGCGGTGCCCAAAGCTGGGGTCATCACTGTAGGGGTCAAGGGACTGACCCTGCAGGCCCGGGAGGCTTTGGTTCCTTGGAAACTGTTTAACCCTGTCCTTTCTCCTCTCCCTTGCACACCAACCCTTTTGTTTTCCACAGCAGGGCTTTCACGTGAGGGGGTGTTTGCTCCGCACGCAACAGATGGCAGTGCCAGTGGAGGGTGCGCAGGGTCTGGGGTCTCAGGGTGCCTCTGGGTCTGCCCCAACACTGCCACCTGCTGCTGCCGCGCGTCTTCCCTTTCCTTGTCTCCCTCGGCTTTCCCTCCTCTCGCTCCTGGGGTAATGCCTTTAAGGTCCCTTTTCTCTCTGCTCATTGGGGGGCCTCGCCCTGGATTCCCCAGCACGTGTTGAGGACTCCCCACCTGGGTCAACCCTTCCGTTTGGGTTTGTCCTGAAGCACCTCCTGTCTCCCCTTCTGTATACTCCTCTGGGTCTGCGCCGGGATCCTGGGAGGAAACATCATCTCATCTACCCTGCGGTTCTCCATGGAAACCTTCCCGGAATAAAGGGCTTCAGTGGGAGAAAATACACTTGAGTACACGTGGACACCTCCTCGCTCACCTGGGGAAGACCCAGGAACACTGAGTGACCCACCAACATGGTCTCTGCCCCCTGTGCAATGACATCTTCAACTCCAGAGAAAGGACAGAGGATGGGGGTCAGCCCTGGGGGGCAGTGGGAAGCCCAGCTACAAGGGTGTGAGTGGTGCGGTCCTAAGGGGCTGCCTCTCCCTCTGATAAGGGATGGAGAGATTTGGACAAATCCTTCCAACGTGAGAACCTGGACGCCTCCTCACGGGGATGTTCTCTTATTCATGGAAATGAGTCTCACAAAAGGTCAACCTCCACCTGCCTGTCGGAGCCCCTCCGTCTGACTCCCAGGAGTGCCCAGTAAATGTAATCCTCCTGTAACAGAAGTGCCTGTAGAGCCGCGAGTGTCCTCCCCTGGGTCCACACAGGCTCACACCCCTGCATCCGATTAATGCACGTGCTGGGGCAGCTCAGCCTCTTGGTAATTACCAGATGGAAATTTACCTATCAACTCCCCCTGTCTTTTTCATTCTCCATGATACTCACCTGGTGAAGAGGGGAGGCCGTTGGCCCCTCACCTTCCTGTGCTGGGCCTGTCTGCTCCAGTCCTGCTGTGTGGCTCAGCCTGCTGCCCAGTGAGTATATTTCCCCCAAATACCTAACTCCCCTTCAAGCTTGATTTATTTAAAAGTTTCGTTTTTATTTATGTATGAATATAAGAGGTGGGTACAGGCCAGAGGTGCGAGGGTGAGAGGACTCATCAGAGACAGAGTGGGGAGCAGAAAAGGCAGATCTGAGGTGCTTCACTCCTTGCGCCACCAGGGAGACCCCGCATATCCTTCTATTCTGGTGAATTCAGCTCACATGTCCCACAGTTCATAAAAGCTGACTGGCTTCAGTTCCAGAATACTTTCACTGACTCTCCTGCCTTCCTGCTGGGGACTCTGCCTGGCAGCGTGCTCTCTGCAGGTCAGTTATCATGGCGAGTGTTTTTTATTTTCTCACTCTATGACATCTGCTGTTGTCTCATCCTCATGACAGTGTGATTTACAAGGAAGAGCTAAGCGTTTGGGTCTTCAGTGATGTGTAACCCAACACTACAAAGTGTTGGTTTTTCTTCTTTTGTACCGTGTCTGCATTCAGCAGGCTTTTCACACCATTACGTAGCATGTTATTCCACATATGTGTTATTCTACCTGCCAACCAGGTGATAAGCTCTTCAAGGGGAATATTTTATTCATCCTTGTATTCATAGACTCAAGGACACTTCCAAATTTGTATGGTAAACTATTGTAGTTCTTTTAGGAGCAAATGGGTTAATCTAGAGGTAAGACTATTTCCCCTGAGAATTCTGTTCACAAAACAGTGTAGAGTAGGAAAATGGTGCCTCCTGTACAAGAGCACAAGAAGGATTGTTTACACTGTTGCTGTGTGACCCAGGCTGACGGCCCTGAAATGAGGAGAAATGTTCCCTCACAGGAGATGGTGTCATTGAAGGACGTGGCTGTGAACTTCCCCTGGCAGGAATGGGAAGACCTGAATGATGCTCAGAGGACCCTGTACCGGTATGTGATGCTGGAGACCTGCAGTCACCTGGTGTCCCTCTGTGAGGATGCTCCAGTGTAACACGAGTGCAAGTGCTGTTTTCTACACTGATTAAGTGTGGTCTTTCTTGTGAAATTGGGTGGTGGTGAGGTTGAACATGGCAAACAGACTAGATTGTGTGTGTTTGCCCAATTTCTGAAAAGTTCTAGTTGACCTTCGTTGCACAGCTCTTAACACTGGTTTTGTTAGTCTTCAAAACTGAACTTTAACTTGACTGAACCAACACTGTTCCTCATCACAGGACATTTGTTACCAATCCTGAGGAGAGCATCAGGTTGGAGAAGGGAGTAAAGCCATGGACTGTGGAGGAAGCCCCAAGCCAGAACCTCTCAGGTCAGTCAGTGCTTGCCTGGCAGGAGGCTAGCAGGAGGCTGGGAGAGTGGCCACACTGTGCTACTTTTCCAGTGTCCAAACCTTGGACGGTTTATCTGCATTTATTGAAGTGATTCTTTATTCACTTTCCACATAAACTCTCTCCTAGATTTACTCCTGCTCTTTTTTTAATGGTTGTCAATGTTGGACTTCACCAGTATGCAGTCCCTGATACTGTAGGAAATTATTCTGCAGCAGTCACATTTTCTGTGTTCTCTCTATTAGTTTATTCTCACGGACAGTTTTCTTTAAGGTACTTATTCAGGCATTTTTTTAATTGATTAATTAATTTATTTATACAAGCACTGGGTACAGTCAGAAGCGCGGGAGGGTGAGAGAATTTCTCAGAGCCAGAGCGGGGAGCAGAGCAGGCAGAAGGACCAAAGTACACTGCTGAGGGGAGCAGCGGGCAGCAGGAGAGTTCTGCGCGCCATGTGGGACCCTCCTCTGGTGGCCTAGGAGCAGCCCGGGATCGAACCAGCATTGCAGAGGCTGCGGGCAGCTTCCCAAACCAGCGCTCAACCACTGCGCCACCAGGGAGGCCCCAGACATTTGTTTTTTCACTCAGTATGTTCATGGGAAGTTTTTGACAGTAATAAATTATCTATGAGTGGGGATAAGAACAGTAATCACAGAAGTGGTCTTTGCTTTGTTGAAGTGATATGCTGTGAGAAAGGAAAATGTGGACCTCCCTGATGGTGCAAGGGATTAAGCACAGCACTGTGAAGCTATCTGTGGCCTCTGCAGCATGAGTTCCATCCCCGACCAGCCAGGGAGCTATACACATGGCACGACAGACCTCTCCTGTCTCTTCTGCTGCTCCCCTCAGCAGTGGATTTCAGTCAGCCTTTGTGAAACTGAGGAGTAACCAGAAATCATTCAGTGAGGGATGGGATGTTCTGACATGGGAGGGGAAACCTAAGGTTGTGGTTTCTAAAGCCATGGAACCAAGAGTTTCAGGTTGGGGGCTCATAACTTGGGAGGAGTTTGATTTGTGCAATTCCACCTTCTTGTGGTAATCATCTGGAAGAAAGCAAAAGCATCATTGAAAGGATGATACAGTACAACTAAATACTAGATAAAAACTTGAGCTGCTATGAATTACATAGAAACAGGTACCAAGTATTGCAGTGACTCCAGTAGCAGCCAAGGAGTGTTGATGTCAGAAGGATGTGCAGAAAGCCTTTCAAAGTGACGACCACAGGCTGGATGCAGAACTTTTTTCCCTTCGATGAGCAGGAGAAAGTTGGACAAAATATGAGGGAGAGTTTGCTGCATATGCTGTCATTCTGAGCAGCGTGTGATATAACATTTAAATAAGAATTGACAGAAAGGTCTCTCCCTACCATGAAGGGAAGTACATGCCTTTGAAAACATCTACAGATGACTGTAGCCAGTGCCGAGGAGACATAAAAACTAAGGAAATATCTTTATGGGTTTCACTTCTGATTTTCTTGGTCTTCTGCCTTTCCTTTCTAGTGAATTGAACTAACATTTTGTTAAATTTATTGTTTTTTTCAAATTCCAGACTTCTGTTCATAGAGAAGCCCAAACATTTTTGCCATCATGTTACGTTTATGTATTTCTTCTTTATTTTGAAATGTCCTTATTTGTGGAAATTTAAAGTTTAGATTGTTCCTTTTCTAGTTTCTTGAGTTGTGGAGTTAATTTAAATGGCTGAAATCTGTGTTATTGTTAGTGTGTCAGTGCTTGAAATTTACATCTTATCGTTTTCTGAGTCCACAGTTTTTGGGAAATTTGTTTCATCTCCATATTTTCAATATATTCTTTAATTTTTGAATCGAGGTAACATTTGATTTAGGGAATAGAGTTTCATCTTCTCAGAGGTCTGTCACCACCACACTCACCACCAGTGCCCTCGTGGGCCTTCTCCATAGATCTTTGAACACCCTCCCACCTCTGTACCCACACCCACTCTCTATCCCTCTGTAATACCCACAATTCTGCAGTCATATTTCTGGAGTTTGTTCTGGTTTGTTGGTTCCTTTCTTTTTTCCTCCAGATTTGAAATTGGAGTGAAGCGATCCAGCAAGTGTCTTTCTCCTGATTTTCTACATTAGCTATGCTCCTGCTATGTTCCATCCTGTTGTTGCAAATAGCCTGAGTTCATCCTTTTTTATAGCTTAGCTGTCTCTACTCTATCGTGTATGTGAAGTGCATCTTGCTTTCAGATTTAAATTTGGCCCTAGTGGTCAACTCACCTTCTTGAACTTACATTATCATTTTCCTTCTAATCGCAGTTGGGGCTGGAACCTCTCCTGGAATTGTATTGTCTTCCTCTTCTGCATTCAGTCCTGCCTGTGTGGTCTGCACACATTCAGCGACCTCACGTTAGTGCATGTGGAATATTTTTAATGACTACCCAAAATATGTCATTTTCTATTGTTGTGATCTTCTTTACATTCTGTGATGGTTTTGACTCAGTTTATATTATTCTGATATTAGTGTGTTCAACACAGCTCCATATTTGATTATCACTTTTCCCAGCATATAGTTCCATCTTCCATTCCTCATGGTGCACGTAAATCTTTGGTGGGTGTGATATGGATAAGATCGTATTGGTGTCGTTTTCTTATTCATTCAGACACATTGTCATTTCAGTGTGGAATATTTTTCATTTATGAACAAACTAATTACAGAAAGGGAGACTCAGGTATTGTTATTTAAAAATGTTTCCTTTATGATCAGCCTTTTTCATACCTCATTTGTTCTCGATTGCATCTCTGTGTTTCTTTGACTTTGTGTGACATGCTTTTATTCCTTTCTCCTTTTTTGTCTGGTGATTTTTGTCTAATATGTCATCATATTTTTTATGCTTAGTGAGGTATATTGATTCATAATACTATTTATTGTGTACAGTATTGTCATCTAGCCTGTGTGCACAGGACATCATGCTCCGTGTTCATTTCCCTCCCATGTGTTCTCCTGGTGTCTTTATTGTTATAATGTACATTATGTGTCATATTGAAAAGCTATGAAACCTTTTAGACTGAAAAGAATGTAATTTCAATTGCACACATGAAACTCAACTCTTTAACATTCCTACCCTACACCAACATTGTTGCCATCACAACATCTCTCTACATCGTGTATTCCAGAACATAATTCCATGGGTATTTTTGATGTGGCTTTTCCAAATGCTCAAGAAGAATCAATAATTTTACTACAGGACTGTATCATGCAATTTTGTATATTTTCTTTGTATTGTATTTACCTTTCCCTAAGGACAGTACCTCTTCATAAACTTTTGTGTTGCTGTCTAGAATCCTTTTGGCTTTATAGGAAGAGCAAAGTCATAGTGTTACCTATTCTAACATCATGCCTATGTTCTTTACTTGATATTACTTTTATAGACTATGCATTTAATGTATTTTTTCTTGAGTGCTGTAAATGTGGTAAATAGTCACTTGCTTTCTTCCAGTCATCTCTTCTCATGACATCCAAGTCCTCATGCCATAGTCAGGCACAGAAGATTTGCTTCCAGATATGGAACTGGGAGGAGATGGAATCTGTGCCTTTGAGAATTTGCAATTAGTGGAAGACCAGACACGCCAAAGATCAATTGAAGGGCAGAACATTTGTTGCAATGAAGATAGCCAAGCTGGAACAATGACCCAGAATACAACTCTTCCCACAAGAAGAGATCATGTGTGTGAAATGTCTTGGGTTAAGCCGCATTTTATGTCTGTCCTTTGCATAGATAAGGGTGTTTCTGTAAGCAGATATCTCTATCAGATTTTTAATAATACATATTCTCTGAGAAGACAGTTAGAACATGTAGGCTGCCCCATAGTCCATCATGCAATAATCATTCAGTACATTGTGAATATGGGACAGGTGTATACTTTGAGTCAAATAGTACTCAACATCAGAAATGCGAATGGGAAGATAAAAAAAATCTACTTGGGATCATATTGAGGAGTCCTCAAAACTACTCCAACATCACACATTTCAGGAGAATCCCTGCAACTGTAAAGGACATGGCAATGCTAACAAATGGTGCTCAAGACTCACTCAACATCAGAGAGAGAAATGGCACAAATGTGAAGAGTGTGGTAAAGCCTTTTGTTGGCATCCACAGCTCACTAAAACATGTAAGGATTCATACTGGAGAAGAGGCTTACACATGTCCATGCTGTGGTCAAGCCTTTCTCTACCTGTGTCACCTTTCTGAACACCACAGGGTTCATAATGCTGAGAAAACATACAGATGTGAAGAATTTGGGAAAGCCTTTAACCAGCAGTCAAGTCTTACTCATCGTCACTGAATTCATACAAATGTGAAAGAAAAAGCTTATAAATGTGAAGAATTCAGCAAAGCCTTTAAGCAGAATGCAAAACTTGCTCAACATCGGCAAATTCATGTAAGAGTGAAATGTTCAAAATGTGAAGAATGTGGCCAACTGTTTAACCGGAAGTCAAATCACTCTGCACATCCGAGAATGCACACTGGGGAGAAACCTGCAAATGTAAAGTGATGAGTGGTTTGTACGAATAGATATTTTGCAACCACCATTTTCATGCTAGCATGATACTTTGAAGAAATAAATATATGGAAAATTAAGTTGTCATAGAATAATCAACTCTAAGTATACATTTAAAAATTGCAGTACAATAATAATTCAAAAACTTCACTGATATTTAAGTCAGATATTTTTATGGAGCATAAACCACCATGAAAGCACTAAGTATGTATTAGTATCATTTAAATGTCCAAGATGATGTGTTGGGGACCAGTATAATTACATTCCACGTACTTTTTTTCAGTCATGCTTGAGATATTATGAAGAGGTGATGAATATAATTCTGCTCTAAATCAGTTCATTCTCTGGCTTTGTCCCCTTGTGTATGTGAAGTCAGGTGTTTGATTTTTTTTTTTTTTTTTTTGCTGCCTCAAACATTTGAGAGACTGTCCTAGTTGATGGATTTGTTTATATCTATCTTGCAGGGTAAATTTAGGACAGTAATGTGCCATGTATCAGGAACATATGAATGGACATGCTGCTTCTGGTTGACTCAAAACATTGATCTAAATCACCAAGAAGGGTTCTGGGCCTTAATGTTGCCATTGAAGTCAGACAGAGGAAAATGTCAAATCATATCACGATGGACTCCTTGAGGAAATGCACAGTTTATTAAAATTGTGATGTTTCTTTATGGAAGTAATAGAGAGATGAATATTATTTGATATCATTGCCAAAAGAAATCTTCACAGACACATGATGACAGAACAGGTGACTGTCCCGTACTGGGCATAGAATTTGTATATGCACAGTAGCTAAGTAATGACTCTGTTGACCACCAACTTAGGGATCCTGGCTTCAAAAGAACAAGAATGCTTCTTAAATGCCTGCATTTTTATTTTCAATATGGAGCATACAGTGATATGTAAATATTTAGACTATATGTGAACCTAATGCAGGTTTTAATAAAGTCGATTGATTTTTTCCAAAAGATTTAATTCATTCTTTTTCAAATTTTTATTTATTTATTTTTTAAAATTTATTTATTTATTCAAGAACTGGGGTACAGTCCAGATGCACAGGAGGGCGAGAGGATTCACCAAAGACGGAGTGAGGAACAGAACAGACATACAGACCGAAGTACACTGTTGAGGGGAGCAGTAGGCAAGACAGGAGAGGTCTGTCCCGCCATGTGGGTTGCTCCCTGGCCAGCCAGGAATCAAACTCGTGCTGCAGTGGCTGCGGATTGCATCATAGGTTGCATGTTAACCCCTGCGCCACCAGGGAGGCCCTGGATAAATAACTTGTAGAAGTATTGCTGACATATGAAATTTCCATTTTTATTTCTTTAAGAAATCTCTGCCCCATTATCTGTAGGGACTGTCCAACTCTCATGGCCACCAGCCATGGGTGAGAGCTCCCTTTTCCCTGCACCCTCTCCAGCGTTGTTCATTTCACTCTTTTTTATTTGGACCATTCTCAAGTGTTGAGGTGGCATCTCAGTGTGGTTTTGACATTTCTCTTACAATAAATTAAGGTGAACATTCCTATGTCTGTTGGACCTCAGAATTTCCTCTTTAGCAAAGTGTTTATTTCCTTTGCCCTTTTCAATTGACTCATTGGTTGGTTTTTCGCACTGGGTGGGAACATTACAAATTTTGGAATGAACCCATTGCCAGATGTGTTGCATGTGTTCTATTCTATAGGATGCATTTCTGTTTCTGTGCTGGTTTCTTTTGAGTTCTAAAAGCTTTTAGATTTGGTGTTGTCCCACTTGTGAAACTTGGTTTTGTTTCCCTTGGTGTTGGGGTTGTGTTCCCTCGTACATTTTGCAGCAGCTGTCCCGTAGTGTACCCTTTTATTTTCTTTCAGTGCTTCATGCTTTGGGCTCTTATGTCCAAACTTTTAATCCATTTGGAATTAGTTTTCTGTATGGAGTTTTTCTTTTAAAGATTTATTTATTTATGCATACAAGATCTGGGGTACAGGCCGGATGTGTGGGGGGTGAGAGGATTCAATATGTATCACAACCAGGGACAGAGTGAGGAACAGAACAGGCATACTGACTGAAATACACTGGTGAGGGGAACAGCGGGTGAGTCAGGAGAGGTCTGCTTCACCATATGGGTAGCTCACTACGTGGGGATTGAACTCATGCAGCAGTGGCTATGGATACCTTCATATGTTGTGCTACCAGGGAGGCCCTGTATGGAGTTTTGAATGGGTCTTGGTTCTTATTTTTTGTAAGTCATTATTCATGTTTCCCTGCACCATTTTTTTTAAAATATGTATTTATTTATTTATGCATAGAAGAACTGGGGTGTAGACCAGATGTTCAGGGTTTGAGAAGATTTGCCAGAAACACGGAGCAGAACAGGTAGATCCACTGAAATACACTGCTCAGGGAATCAGTGAGAGGGACAGGTGAGGTCGGCTGTGCCACATGTGGGTCAGCTCTCTGGCCTGGAATAGCTGTGATAGCACTGACTCTTAACCCCTATGGCACCAGGGGGCCCATCCCAGTATTATTTATTAAAGAGGCTGTCTTGTCTGAATGGTATGATTTTAGCTCCTTTGTCCAAGATTGAACTCTTCATATTTATATCATTTGCTCTCTGGATTTTTAGTTGCCTTCCATTGCTCTGAGTTCTGGTTTTGTTCCAGTAAAATAATGTCAGGAAATATGGTACTTACATTTTCTTCTTTTCTCCCAAGATTTTTTTGCTATTTGGGACCTTCTGTGGGTTCATTTAAATGTGGGTATTGTTCTATTTCCTTATAAAAAACGTCCTTGGTATTTGGTAGGTATTGCATAAGTTTGTAAATTGCTCTAGACAATAAAGCCATTTATGATGTTAATTCTCCCCACCTAGGAGGATGGGACATCTTTGTATTTCTCTGTGTCTTTTATTTCCTTTAATAGATTTTTTTTTTAATTTTCAGGGTTCAGGTCCCTCACCTCCTGCTTTCACTTGAATGATACAGTCACAGTTATTTCATTCCTTTTGGTGTGAATGTCAATGGAAATGCCAGTCATTTCACACACGTTCTCTCTCATGGCTTGTTTATACTTCCAGAGAAATGAACCAAAAATGTTACCATGTATTGAATTGTAGTAAAATTTTAAAATAGTTGAACCTATATAATGTAACATTTTTTTGAGAAATTACACTCAAAAACAGTAGCTTTTATTATAATGGATTCCACATTGTATGTCTACATAGTGGTTTTGAAGTATGCACACAGTATCACCCACAGCTCGGATTCCTTCATAGTATTTGAATAATCTTGAATTCGTTGACAAGACTACATTCATCCATGTAGTGTGTATGTGGTCCCATTTTTATTAATTGAAACGTAACATTATATACTGTGTCCTGTGTCTTTCCCTTTTTCAACCAAACCATTCTTGTTGGCTATAAAACCTGCTGTGCTCATTCATTTAGGGTCCTCTTTGATTCATTTTACCTCAGATCTGTAGGGAAAACCCTGGTCTGTAATATCGTGGGTGTTTGAGGAAATGGTCACATAAAAGATAAATATATTAAAAGCTCAGAGAATTATATCTGGTTCATACATGAGTCTAATGAATGCTGTGGGAACGGGGTCTCCCTGGTGGGTCAAAGGCTAAGCACAGCGCTGTGAAGCTGTCCGCAGCCTCTGCAGCACGAGTTCGATCCCTGGCAGGCCAGGAGGCTGCCCACATGGCGCAGCAGACCTCTTCTGTCTCATCCGCTACTCCCCTCAGCAGTGTACTTTGGTCAGTCTGCCTGTTCTGTGCTCCACTTTGTCTCTCTGGTGACTCCTCTTACCTCCCGCACCTCTGACCTATACCCCAGTTGTTGTATGCATAAATAAAAAAAATCTGTAAAAATGATCATTTTTGTTGTTGTTGCTTTGCTTAGTATTTGATCATTACCTACAATTTCCTTTCAGTCTTTCATCTCCATTTCTGCTATGAGTTTTCCAATTGTCCTGCCTCCTTATTGTACAGATATGTGCCCTGGGTCAGATTTGATGTCACTGTCCACGGTGGTTTCGTGGGCATATGTGATCCTCTGGGCTCAGTGCGTGCATTAGACTGTTGCTGTGTAAACATGGATGTCACTGCATAAGGGCATTCTTTCTCAGAACCAGGTCTCCCCCTTTTTTTTAAAGATTTATTTTATTTACTTATACATAAATTTGTGAGGTATGGGCCAAAGGTGAGGGTTCTTGGGGGTGAGAGGATTCACCAGAGACAGAGTTGGGAGAAGAACAGGCAGATCTACCGAAATAAACTGCTGAGGGGAGCAGCGGACGAGACAGTAGAGGTTTGCTGTGCCATGTGAGTCAGTTCCCTGGCCAGGGATCAAACTTGTCCTTAAGCTTGCCCATAGCTTAAACTTGTCCATAGCTTGTCCTTAAACTTGTCCATACTTCATAGTGCTGAGACTGAACCCCTTGTGCCACCATGGGGCCCCTCACAACTCTCTTTTCACCTTGTGCCCTATTTAGAGTTCTGCTGGTGGCCATGTAGTAACTGTGTAATTGATTTCAGGAACCCTTGACCTTCAGAGATGTGGCCATAGAATTCTCACACAAGGAGCAGGAGGGCCTGGACCAGCTACAGTGGAAATTGTACAGGGACATGGTGCTAGAGACCTACAGAAATGTGGTTTCCTTGGGTGAGGAGAATATCCCTCTAGATTTCCTCATCTGTCCTCAGTGTTTCCTGTACCGCATGTGGATGTGCTCCAGGGATGCCCAGGTTTGTCGTATACTTTTAGGTCCCTATTTTAAAGAAAAACAGTGTGGGTTTGTTGGAAAGTCTCATGATGTTTCATCATGGCTTAAATTTCTCCTGTCTTAGGATGATCTGCAACCTGCCCTCTGTATGAGTGCTCATTCAAGAAAATATGTGACTTAAGCGTTATTGCTACAAGCAAAATCCCAGCTTCTCTATCACATTGCTAGGACTCAGAGGTGTAGAAATGGTTCTTAGGATATGAAAATTTCAATGATTTCTGGTAAAGATGCTGTCAGAAAAAGTATTTGCAGTGATCCTTTTCCAGAACCTTCTATACTGTCCCCTCTACTGAACACAATACTGTATTGGGAATTTGAGAATCTTCAGGCCATCTCATATCACCTGTCCTAATAAACAGGTCTTGCTGTGTCTACGCCCGAGCTGGTCATCTTGTTATAGCAGAAAAATGGAGCCCTGGGATGTGAAGACAAGTCTTAGTCTTGCTCTACCTGGGGGTGTCTCCTCTCTGACACTTCAGTCCTCTGTCTTTCCTTCTTACTGAATTGAACTTGGTTTTGTCCATTTTGTTGATCTTTCAAAATCCAGACTTCCTTTCATAGAGAAGCACTGGCTTTTTGGTCATAATGTTCTATTTATGTATTTCTTATTTTTTTTTCAATGTCCTCCTTTCTGCCAATATGGAGCTAAAATTGTTCTTTTTCTAATTCCTGGAGGTGTGAATTTACATTGCTCAACTGAGATCTCTCTTATTGCTAGTGTAATTGTTTAATGCTTTAAATTTACCTCTTAGTATTGTTTTATGAATCACAAGTTTCGGGGAGTTTGCTTTGTTGCAATGTTTTCTCAGTATTGCTTAGTTTTTTTGGAATCAAGGAATCATGGGTTTACCTCACTCTTCGTGATTCAGGGAATAGATTGTCATATCCCCAGATGTCTGTCACCACCATACCCACCACCAGTGCATTGTGGGCTTCTCCATAAATCTTTGAATCCCCTGCCACTTTTGTTCCCACACCCACTGTCCTTCCCTCTTTGTACCCTCATTCTGCAGTCCTATTCCTAGGGTTTATTTTGGTTTGTATTGTCAGTTTATTTGCCTTGTTTTTCCAAAGTCCCAATAGGAGTGTATTCATCCAGTAAGTCTTCTTCCTTCTGATTCTTTTCACTGAGCATAATCCTCCCCCAGCATTCCATTGTTGTTGTTGCACATGGCCAGATGTATCATTTTTCATAGCTCAGTAGTATTTCATCCTTTCTATATACCACATCTTTCTTTTCGAATTATTTTTCACCCATTTGTCAACTCTGATTCCTGAATTTATAACATTATTTTCCTTCCAATTGCAATTGGGCCTTGAACCTCTCCTTGATTTTATTTGTTTTCATCTTCTGCTTTGAGTTCTGTCTTTGTGGCACACATTCAGGACCTCATCTTAGTGTATAGGTAATATTAAAATGACTTCTCAATACAGGTAGTTTTCTGTTATTTTCTGGGGTCATTCTTTTCATTCTGTGATGCTTTATACTCAGATAATATAATTAGAGTGATCCACACGGCTCCATTTTCATGATTAGTCTTCATAGAATCTAGTTCCATCCTTACATTCCACATAGTGCACTGAAGGCTATGTTGAGTGTCCTATAGGTAAGATTGAATTGGTGTTATTTTTAATTCATTCAGACACATTTGCCATTGTATTGTGGACTTTTATTTACACCAAAGTATTACTGAAAGGGAGGCATTAACTTTATTAAAGAATGGTTCCTCTATTCTCAGTCATTTTATTTTTTAAAATTTTTTTTAAGATTTATTTATTATTTATTCAAGCATGGGGTGCAGTCAGAAGCACGGGAGGGTAAGAGAATTCAACAGAACCAGAGCAGAGAACAGAACAAGCAGACTGACAAAGTACACTGCTGAGGGGAGCATTGGGCGGCATGAGAGGTCTGTGCAACATGTGAGACCCTCGCTGGTGGCCGGAGATCTAACCAGCACTGCAGAGGCTGCAGGCAGCTTTGCGACCCAGCGCTCAACCGCTGCACCACTGTGGATGCAGTATTCTCAGCCATTTTATACCCCATTTCCAACCTACTGCATCACTGTAAATTTTTTGACCTTTTCTTATATGTTTTAAATCCTCTCTCCTTTCTTGTTGGTGATTTCCCTCCACTTTCACACATTTTGATGTTAATGGAGGTATAATGGTTTGTAATATTATTTACAAACATTGTAAAGCATTGTCATCCAACCTATGTACACGTAACATCAGTCTCTGTTTTTATTTATTTCCCATGTATTTTACGGTATCTTTTTTCTCATGGGCATTCCATAGCCTGTTGAATAGTTATGACAGTCTTTTCTAAAGTAAAAACCTGAAAGCCATGTAAATTCAGCCGCATACCAAAACTCCACTCTTTAACATTTCTACCCCTACTGACATCACAAATTATATCTCATGATATTTGTATTCTATAACATGAATCTATGATTTTTTTTTGTGCCATATTTCCAAATTCTGAAGCAGAAACGATATTTTTACTATAGGGTTATATCAGTATTTGCTATGTATATACCTTTCCCTAAGGACGTTACCTATTCATAAGCGTGTGTGTTGCTATCCAAACATCATGTCGGGCATCTTTATATGGTATTGATTTTATGTCTTAAATATTTAAAGTATTTTGTCTTGAGTGCTGTGCGTGGGGTAGTTATTCCTCATTGTCTTCCTGCCCTGTCTTCTCAAGACAACCATGTCTCCATGCCACAGTCAGGCACAGAAGATTTGTTGCTAAATGTGGGATCGGGAGGAGATGGAATTGGCACTTTTGAGAATTTACAATTATTGATAGACCAGACATGTCAAGAGACATGTGAAGGGCACAACAGTTGTTGCAATGAAGATTCCCAATATGGGACAATTATGCATAATTCCTCCTGTACAAAGTGATCCTGTGTGTAAACCATGCTGTGTAAAACTCCATTTTATATTTGTTGCAGGTAGAGATAAATATGTTTCTGTTAGCAAAGATCCATGTGACATTTTTAACAAGACACAATCTCTGAGAAGAATGTTGGAACATATGGGAAGTCCCCTAGTCCATAATGCAAATGATTATTCAAAACACTGTCAATGTGGGATAGATTTAAACTTTCAGTCATGTCATTCTCAACATCAGAGAATTAGAAAGGAAGATGAAAAATCTACACAGGATCATATTGAGGAGTCCTCAATACTTTTCCAGCATCATGTACTTCATGAGAAACTCTACAATTGTAAAGGATATGGCAAAGCTACCAAATGGGGCCCAAGACTTACTGAACATCACAGAGAGAAACCTCACAAGTGTGACGAGCATGATAAAGTTTTGTATTGGCATCCACAGCTGACTAGCCATCTAACAATTCATGCTGGAGAAAAGCCTACACACGTCCTGATTGTGGTAACACCTTCCTGTGCTGTGTCACCTTTCCTGACATCAGAGAGTTCATACAGGGAAGAAACCTTACAGATGTGAGGAGTGTGGGAAAGCCTTTAACCAACTGTCAGCCTTTAACTATCTTAGCATCACAGAATTCATACTGAGGGGAAACCTTACAATTGTGAAGGATGTGGCAAAACCTTTAACAATAAGTCATGTCTTACTCGACAACATAGAATTCATACAGGGGAGAAACCTTCGAGATGTGAAGAATGTAGGCAAAGCCTTCTACCATCCATCACATTTAAGTCAACATCAGAGAATTCATACTGGGGAGAAACTTTACAAATGTGAAGAATGTGGCAAAGCCTTTCACCGCAAGTCAAGTGTTACTCTACATTAGAGAATTCACATCAGAGAGAAATGTTAAAATTGTGAAGTCAATTTTTTTTTTTACTTTAGTCTCTTTTTTTCAAGATTTATTTTATTATGCATACAAGAACTGGGGTATCTGCCAGAGGTGGGTGTGTGTGATAGTATTCATCAGAGGCAAGGTGGGGAACAGAACAGGCCGATTGAATGAAATACACTGCTGAGGGGAGCAGCAGGCGAGACAGGAGGGGTCTGCTGCACCATGTGGGTAGCTCCCTGACCTGGAATCCAACTCGTACTGCAGTGGCTGCATATAGCTACAAAGGTTGTGTCTTAACCCCTTGTGCCACCAGTGAGGTCCCAACTTTGGTGTCTTTAACCAGAAGTCCAGAAGTTTAACCAGAGTGTTAAAGTGATTAACCAGAAGTCAGATCATCCTAAACATCAGAGAGTGCAAACCAAGAGAAACTGTAAATGGAAAGTGATGAGTGGTTTGTCCAAATATGAATTTTGAAGCCACCAGATTTTCATACTGGAAACTTGAAAGAAGTGAAAATATGATTAAGTAATTTATAATGAAATTTAGATTCATATTAAGATATTGCAATACAGCAGGAAGTGAGAAACACTTTACATTCCTTAAGTCAGAAAATTGTTATGGAACATAAGCCAACATTAAAACACTAAATACTAGCATAACTGAAAAGTCTGAGGGCCTTTCTGGTGGTGCAGAGGGTTAAGTCACAGCACTATGAAGCTATCGTTTGGTCCCTGGCCAGGGAGCTGACCACATGAAACAGCAGACCTCTCTTGACTTATCTGCTGTTCCCCTCAGCAGTGTGTTTCAGTCAATCTGCTTGTTCTGCTCTGCACTCTGTCTTTGGGGAATCCTCTCACCCCATACACTTCTGGCCTACCCCTCTGTTCTTGTATGCATAAATAAATAAAATCAATCTTTAAAAAAATAAATAAGAGTTCAAGATGATGGTTTGGGGCCCTGTATATTTTCTTTGTCCTTTTTTTTATCAACCATATTTGAGATATTGTGAAGAGACCTGATGAATATAATTCAGCCCTAAATCACTTCACTCTATGGCTTTCTCCTGGTATGTAGGTGGAGTCATGTATTTGACTTGTGTGTCAAACATCTAAGGGATCCTCTCCAGATTATGAGTTTCTTTACATCTTAATTGCTTGGGTACATTTACAATGGTGTCATGTATCATGGATGAAGAAAATCTAAATGGATATGCTGTTTGTGTCTGACTGAAAAGGTTGATCTAAATCACCCAGAGGAGTCGTGGACTTTATTGTGGGCATAAAAGTTACACACGGAAACGTGCTGAAGTTCAACTCATTTCATCATTTTCACATTCATGGGAATACACTAACAGTTTATTAATATCCTCATGTTTCTTCATGGTAGTAATGGAGCCATGAATATTATTGGACGTTGTTGCCAAAAGAAATCTTCACAAGCATGTGATGAAAGAGCAGGTGAGCTTTTCATTACAGCGTAGAATTCTTGTGCATTCACATTAGCTAAGCAAAGCATCTTTATGTTGAACACCGACTCTGTGATCCAGATATCAGAAGGTCAAGATGCTTCTTAAATACCTGAATGTTGGTTTTGATGAAATGTGTCTTGGTATCTGAATGTCTTATTGAGACTATATGTGAACTTCTTATGTATATTTTTAAAATTTATTCATACAAGAGCTGGGTTGCAGGCCAAAGGGTGTGTGTGTGTGTGTGTGTGTGTGTGTGTGTGTGTGTGTGTGTGTGAGAGAGAGAGAGAGAGAGAGAGAGAGAGAGAGAGAGAGAGAGAGAGAGAGAGAGGATTCACCAGAGACAGAGTGGGGCATAGAACAGGCCGACTGACTGAAATACACTACTGAGGGGAGCAGTGGGCAAGAAGGGAGAGGTCTGCCATGCCCTGTGGGAGGCTCCCTGCTGTGGAGGGGGCAGATAGCTTGTCAGTCAGCGCGGTGCTTAACCCCTTCAGCCCCAGGGCGGCCCTGTTGAGCTCTCTTCCCTCAGAGCCCTGAACCCGTTATGGGCCCTGCAACCTCCACTCCTCCCACTTTCCGGCCGCAACCCCACCCCAACGACGGCCCGACGGGCTGCGCAAGGGGTTGTGGGAAATGTAGTCTCCAGCCCCTGTGGTTCCCGCGGAGGTTTCTGGGCGGGACTTCCGCGATCTGCGCAGGCGCGGCCCCGCCCCGTCCGCCCGAACGTTCTGGCGCCTCCGCGAGCGCTGGGGCGCCCCGAGGTGAGCGCGGGTTTGTCCCGGGAGGCCGGGCTCGGATAAGCGGAGACGCCGGGGGGTTGGGGAGCGGGGGGCGCGGGCGAGCGGGGGCCCCGGCCGCGTGGAGTCGGGCGCTTTGGAGCCGATTCCCCCCGGAGCGCGTGGGGGGGCGGGGCAGGGCCGTTGGGGAGAACTTCCCGGCCTTTCCGGGGTGTCCCTGGCGCGGCCGCCCGGCCCTGACCCCGGACGCTGCCCGGGGTCTTCCCGGGGCGGGGCACGGGGTCCCCAAGGCGGGGGCCCTGGGGAAGCGCGGGTCCGCCTGTGCGCATGCGCGCTGACTCCTCTGGGCCCCCAGAAGTCGGGCGGAGAGGGAGGGGAGAGCCAGGCGGCGTTTCTGGCGGGGGGTTATTGCGCCCGGGGCGGGATTCGCGGACCCAAGGTGGGAGGGTGAAGTCGCACGGGTTGCCAGGGGGAGGCGGCCCCTGTGGGGGAGGGGAGGTCGGCGGGAAATTGGGTTGGCAGGGCTGGGGGAGTTTGGGGGCAGTTCCTGGGGCGTTAGAGGCTTGTTGTCTGAATTTCCGGGCGCCCTTTGCGTTCCCGGCCCCAGGTGGCGTCCTGCTGGCTGCTGCATTCCGGCCTCCTGCCTGGATGTGCGCACTCGGGGGACCACGTCGCTGTCGGGGTGTCCACGGAGAGGAGGGCGGGAAGGGCGCGGAGCCACTGCCGGGGTGTCCTGGCAGAATAATGCGTTCGGGGCGCCCTCTCGTTGGAAGCTGTGGCCACACTCTGAAGTGACTCATCAGCTTTGAGACGGTTGTTCTTGGCATCACTGTTGAGCAGGCAGTGGGCAGTGTCACCTTTTGTTAAGTTATGGTGAACCGTCAACCCAGGTTCTGCCGCTCATGGACTCGCGGGGCCTCTCCTGCCCCTGCTAGAAGTGTCACACGGCCGTCACCCGCAGTGACTCTGGTGTCTCCAGGTAGCGTGTGGCGGGCTCTGGACAGGAGACTCCAGGACCCCGTGCAGCTGCCTCCGTCCTCTGTGCTGAACCCCATCGCCCCTCCTAGCGCCGCCTCCAGAGCCCTCATGCCTCTGTGAGAGCAGCGACAATGGACCAGTCTCTGGTGAGTGCTGTGTTTGCTTCAGCTCCGGGTGCATTGACTTTATGTGAGTATGTCAACGGACACGTAAATTAGAAACATAGTTTTCTCCAGGGACACATTCCTCACCAGAGAAAGGTGTGGCGTAGATCCAGGCACTTCACATGTCCAGCATGTGTGAAGATGGGGCTCTGCCCTGGTGCTCACGCAGCGCAGAGTCAGAGTCTGTACCTGGGTCACGGTTGATGACGCTGAAGGTGTGGACTGTGGCTCTTCACCCCGCTGGACAGAAACACTTCCCAGCTCTGCGCTGGTCAGGTGCGGGGTGAGGGAGGAGGGGGAGGATGGGGCCTGAGGACCTGAGTGCAGAATGGGGGTGAAGGAGCCACATGTCTTTTAAAAAGGACAACTAATTTTTTTTTTCAAGATTGGTTTATTTATTTATACATGCACTGGGTACAGTCAGAAGCGCGGGAGGGTGAGCGAATTCACCAGAGCCAGAGCGGGGAGCAGAGCAGGCAGAAGGACTGAAGTACACTGCTGAGGGGAGCAGCGGGCGGCAGGAGAGGTCTGCGCGCCATGTGGGACCCTCGCTGGTAATCGAACTGGCGCTGCAGATGCTGCGGGCAGCTTCACAACCCAACGCTCAACCCCTTGCGCTCCCCAGGAGGCCCCAACTGAATTTTTAAGGTTTCTGTGCAGTAGCTAAAATTATATACTGTGTCCTACACAACTCTCGGAGACTTTCATGCAGGCATCAGTCTTGGCATGTGTGCCGTTGAGTCCAATGGGGGATCCTTACATACCTGCCCCTGCCTTTCTCTCAGGTGGCCTGCAAACCGGAGGTGCCCAGTAGACTCTTCAGAGTCCTTTTTTCTGGCCGTTGTTTCCACTGCTCCTGCGCATTTCTCCTTGGTGTGGTCTGAATGCATTTCTAGTGACACTCACTACACCCTAAGTTGCTCTCCAGTCCAGTTACACTCTCCAAAAGTTCCTGCCATGTTTGAGAACACCGTGTGTGACCTCTGGGAAATTTCATTTTTTTTAATTGTTTTAAAGCTTCTTATATTTTTTTTTCTTATTCTTTTACTTATTTTCCCTCCTCGATCTGTCATTGACATGTGTAGCACTAAAAGCCTTCTGCTGAAATAGTTGCCAGTTTTTTCCTACAATACTAATGGGTCTTGCCCTACCCCTAGTTTCCCCCTGTAGCAAACCACTCTGGCCCATCCCCCGTCTGCCTCCCTTCCTAACTTCTCCACCCATTTCCCTGTTCCCTCTGGTGGTCATCTTTACCTTCAAATGACCCTGTTCAAGTTTTATTCATGTATTTTGGCTGTAAATATTTTTTGGGTATTTATTTTCCACAGATGAGTGAAGCCATCTCATATGTGTCTTTACTTTTTGGCTTATTTCACTCAAGAATAGCACCTCCCGGGGCCTCCCTGTTGGCACAAGGGGTTGAGATGCAACTGATTGGGCTGTCTGTAGTATGTTCAGCACAAGTTCCATCCCCCGGCCAGCCAGGGAGCTACCCACATGGCGCAGCAGACCTGACTGGCCTGCTGCATCCCTCGGCAGTGTATTTCAGTCTGTCTTCCTGTTCTGTTCCCTGCTCTGTCTCTGGTGAATCCTCTCACCTTCTTCCCCCACACCTCCGGCCTGTACCCCAGCTCCTCTATGCATAAATATATAAATCTTTAAAAAAAAAAAAACAAAATATCACCTCCTTGCCCACCCATTTTATCCTCAGTGTGACCCTTTGCTCCTTCCTCACAGACCTGCAGTGCTCCCCTGCGTGTGCTCCACCCTTCCTGCCCTGCCTCTGCCGAAGGGATGTAGATTGGGCCATGACTGGGCAGTTGGAAACACAGCTGCTCTGCTCATGGATGGGATAAATCTTTTTGTATTTGAGTTTTCCCATGAGGATAATGTGTAGAAGTATCCAGATTACATGGAATTTCCGTTTTTATTTCCTTAAGAAACCTCTGCACCCTCATCCACAGGGTCTGTTGCGACTGTCATGGCCACCAGCCGTGGGTGAGAGCTCCCTATTCTCTGTGCCCTCTCCAGCGTTGTTCATTCCATATTTGTTTTTTTTTTTTTTTAGTGTTTCACTTTTTTAAATACTATTTTACATATTTTTACATCATTTTCATTTTTGCACAGTGTAATTATTTACATCTTCGTTATAGTCCCCATAAAATTCTCACCCCTCACCCCCCGTTTTGTATAAATCCATTCGTTTTCATTTGGGCCTTCTCAAGGGGTGAGGTGGCATCTAAGTGTGCTTTTAATTTACATTTCTCTTAAAATAAGTTAAGGTGAACATTCCTATTGTCTGTAGGATGTCAGAACTCCCTCTCTAGAGAAGAGTGTATATAGTTCCTTTGTCCATTTTCTAATTAAGATTTATTCATTTATGCATACAAGAACTGGGGTACAGGTAAGAGGTGCAGAGGGTGAGAGGATTCGCCAGAGACAGAGTGGGGAGCAGAACGGCAGACTTACTGAATCACACTGCTCAGGGGAGCAGTGGGGAGTCAGGAGAGGCCTGCTGCGCCATGCAGGTTGCTCCCTGCCGGCCAGGGATCGAACTCGCCCTGCAGAGGGTGTGGAGAGCTTCATAGGCTGCGTCCCAACCCCTTGTGTCACCAGGGAGGCTCCCCTTTGTCCATTTTTAATTGAGTCATCAGTTGATATCTCGCATTGTTTGGGGATGTTATAAATTTTGGAATGAACCCCTTGTCACGTGTGGCATGCAGATTCTTTTTCTGTTCTGTAGACTGCCTTTCAGTTTTGGGGCTGGTTTCTTTTAAGGTGTGAAAGCTTTTAGGTTTAGTGGTGTCCCACTTGTTGATATTTGCTTTTGTTTCCCTGGGTGTTGGGGTTGTGTTCCCTAGTGCACTTTGGGGCAACTGTCCTTAGTGTGTCCCTATATTTTCTGTCAAGTACATCACCAAATATTTAATCCATTTGGGATTTTATAGATTGATTTATTTATCCATATAAGAGCTGGGGTACAGGCCAGACATGTGGCGGGTGAGAGGAGTAACTGGAGCCAGAGCGGGGAACAAAACAGGCAGATCTGGTGAATTACACAACTAAGGGGAACAGCAAGGAGACAGGAGAGGTCAGGTGTGCTGTGTGGGTGAGTTCCCTGGCTGGGGATCGAACTCATGCTGCAGGGGCTGTGGATAGCTTCATAGTGCTTTGACTTAACTCCTTGCTTCACCAGGGAGACTCCATGTTGCTGTATTAAGTCAGTTGGAATTTGTTGAGGATTTTCGCTTCTCTGTTCTTTGGTGGTGTTGGTCTATTTTTCCCTTTTATGCTGTCTTTTTTGGGGTGAGTATCAGGGAAGCGTTGACCTCATCGTATGTGTTGGTGAGTTTTCCTCCGTCTTCAGTGTTTTGGAAGATGCAAATTTCTTTGTGTTTGCTTCTGTCATGGTCTCTCTGATGATTTCTTTTCTGTGTCCCTGAATGCTTGAGTATCTTGTGCTCCTGAATGTAGCTAGTCCCTGTGTTCCGATCTGGTCTCCCGTCTTCAGTCTGCACTTCTCCTGAGTGAGTCAGTCAACTGTGTTTTGCCATTTCTGCCAGTTACACTTGAGCGTGGGCCTCCTGCCCAGGCCTAGTACCACAGGCTCGGCTCCCACCTGACTGTGCTTGTAGCCGTCCCGATAGCAACTGCCGCTCATGCAACATGCAAACCTCGTTCTGTGTTGTGCCCTCCTGTGTGGGATTAGATCCTTCTCAGCCCAGGTCTCCCGCCACCAGAAAGGGATTTCTCTGTTCCAGAGTTTAGTCTCACCCAATGCAAGTTACTCTTCAATATTACCTGATATCTTAATGGTTACTAACAACAGCACCGCCGTGCGTGCGTGCATGTGTGTGTGTGTGTGTGTGTGTGTTCACTTTCTTTTACATTACAGTTTTCATTCTTGGCCAAACCTGATGGGTGCATTTTCTCAGTGATGAGGCTGCTCCCTTTTCTGCCTCCAACTGGCCAGGGTGTGGTGACACCTCAGAGTTCAGGGGGGAGAAAGTACTCAGGGGTCAGTGGCACATGTTTGAACAAGGGTCATGACACAGACACTTGCTGAGTAAAACCAGGTAGCCCAGATGTTCATCATTTGACCTTTGGTTGTTGGGAGTTTATGTCAATGATGCTCAATGTAGTTTTTAATAAAGAGCTTCAGGTTTCTGTCGAGTCTGGAGTATAGTAGGTGTGCTTGCATTTGTCATACGTATGATTCTTGGTGAAGTTACGGTTAATGGTAATTTTTTTTAATTTTGATAGATGTTAATAGAATATTGATAGAATGAATATATTTTGCAACCTAATTTTACCAGCTCTTCTGTCACCTGTGACCATGCAAGTGTTTCATTTTATAAACCTTTGCACTGTGGGGAGCAGCAGTGGCTGCTCTTCTGTCCAGCGTGACTTGCTTCTTTTTCTCCCTTTCCTAGTAAATGTGGCCCTCCATTCATTCATTCATTCATTCATTCATTCATTTTTTAAAAGATGAACTTATTTATGCATACAAAAACTGGGGTATGGGCCAGAGGTGTGAGAGGGGGGAGGATTCACCAGAAACAGATTGGGGAGCAGAACAGGCGAATCTATTGATATACACTGCTGAGGTGAGCAGTGGGCAAATCAGGAGAGGTCTGCCATGCCATGTGGGTAGCTCTCTGGCTGGGGATTGAACTCATGCTGCGGGACAGCTCCATAGGCAGTGTCTTTACCTTTGAGCCACCAGGAAAGCCCCTGACCCTTTATTTAAATGTAAAATAAAAAGTCTCCTTTCGCTGTTAATTGCATGTGGTGTTCTTTGGCTTTTAGTATCTGCCAGTGTTATACAGCCATCACCACCTTCCAGATTTTTTCATTTCCCAGTAATAAAATACTGTACTCATTAAACACTCGCTCCCAACTGCTCTGTCCCTCAGCCCATGTGTCCATCATTTACTGTTTTCAAGAGTTTGACAACTCAGACCTGTATGAATGGAGTCTTATTACACCTTGTTTTCTTGGCGAATCTATTATTTTATTGCATTGATAACTGTTTTGTCATTTCATAGGTATCGTGCAGGAGTGCATTCATATTGTAGTGTGTGTCATTGTTTAGTTCCATTGTGAGGCTCATTAATAATCTCTTATGTGTATTTTCCAGTCTTATTTATCCATTAATCCATCACCTGGGGCTTGGGTTGATTTTGCTTTGGGCTGTAATGACTGGTGGTGCAGTGACCGTAGGTGAGCAAACGTCTCTGCCCGTCCCTGCTGTCCCTGCTATTGGTGAACACCCCGGGGTGGGGGTGGGTCCTCCTGTCATTCTGAGTTCCCTTTTCCCAAGAATCACCTTCCTGTCTTCCCTCCTGGCTGCATCGTTTATGTTTGCCCCAACAGTGCACAAGGGAGCCAGGTCCCGATTTTGCCAGTACTTGTTCTTTTCTTTCTTTTTAAATCATTGCAATCCCAGCAGACGTAAAATCTCATCTCTTGTACTTATCATTCATTTTTCCTTCGTGACTGGTCGTATTGAGCACGTTCATGTGTTAGGACCCGCTTGGGTATGTGATTTGCAGAGCTGTGTATTCCAGTCCTTTACTCATCGCTGCACATTTCCATTTTAAACAGGGTCGAAAACGCAAGGAGATTGTATTGTCCCATTTCGTCATACGGTCCTTTTATGGCATCCTGAGCCTACTCTTGATGGGAGGTCCCCGTGAGTTTCTGTGCACAGAAATGAGCCATCCACCTTCTCTCTGCTGTTGTTTTATTTCTCGTATTAGTGTTTTAATCAATGAACCTGTAAATAAATGCATTTTTGTTTTCCTAGAACTGGGATGTTCCGGGTTACCTTGCGAGAGTTGCTGTCAGTGCAGCAGGCTCATCGTGTCCTGGATGCTGTTGTGTCTTTGCATTTGTTTAATTCATTGTTTAACCCTCCGGGTTTCTTTATTCCAGCGAGTCTCTACCCTTGGTTCCGCTACATGCATTGCTTACTGTTTCGTCATTTCACTGGCAGCATACAGGAGCTCCTGTGTGTGTGAACACGGGTGTGTGTTATAGTCTGCTCACTGGGTTTTCCTTTCCAGAGTCGCTTTACTTTGGCTTTCATTAGTTTTCCAAGAATGAATTATAACTAGTTATGACCATTTCTATGTATGTTGTCTTTTTGTTGTTACGTAGCGTCACCAGAACCCATTGTGAATAGGGGACACTGAGCATCTTTGTTAGTCTTTCTCTCACTGGGAATGTTGATGTCGCCTGTGGCTGTGTCAAGGACTTGTTTTGTGTTGAGGAAAAATCCTCTGAATCCTTTTTTAGCTAATACAAATGGAAAATTTTTTTTAAAGGGTTCCTGTTCTATATGTATGTGGAGGTGCACAGGATTTACTACACAGGAAAGGACATGATGGAATAAATTTACGGATTTCTTAAGATGTTTGTTTTCTTATACCGCATATCTTATTTTTCAAAACTCTTTCATTGCTATGATCTATTTTTTTCTTTCTCCAAAAGAAATATTTGTCTCTTCTGGTTGTTTTTCCTCTTCTTTTGATACCTTTTGTTCTGGTCACCATGTTCTCCCCTACGGTGATGAAAACTATCAATAATATCCTGAAGATTCCCAAATTCTTTTAATATTTATTTTATGTATGCATATAAATGTTCGGGTGTAGGCCACAGGTGCAGGGGGTGAGAGGATTCACCAGAGACAGAGTGGGGAACAGAACAGGCAGACTGACTGAAATACTCTGCTGAGGGGAGCAGTGGGGAGACAGGAGTTATCTGCTGTGCCTTGTGGATAGCTCCCTGGTTGGGGATCAAATTTGTGCTGCAGCAGCTGCCGATAGCTTCATAGTGCTGAGACTTAAACCCTTGTGTCACCAGGGAGGCCCTGATTCCCAAATTTCTGTTTTCATAGACTTCCTGATCTATCAGACACATGTCCAGTTGCGTGTGGAATTCCAGTGTCTACCAGCCCATTATGCGGACAGTATATTAGGAAAACATTCCTCGTACCTCAGCCACCAAGTTATTACCGAGTTCTGCTCCCCTTTGTCCTTCCATTTTAGAAGAGATGACCTGTTCTGTTGTCTTCTGACTCTGTCAGCTGAACATCTTTTCTTAAAATTTTATTTTATATATATTTTACATCATTTTTTATTTCTGCACAAGGTATGCATTTTCATCTTGGTTATAGTCCCCATACATCCCACCCCCCTTATTTTGACCCTAATCCCTCCACCCCCCCATAGTGCATCTCTGGTTTATACTTGCTTGTAGTTGAACATCTCTTACCTGTGCTTTTTGCCACCTCATTGCTTGAACATTCTGGTTTCGGGTTCACTTTTTGTTTACTGTGAGTTGGAGATACCAGGCTTTGAGGTCACAGGAGTAAAATATTGACACAAAGTTGCACATGCTTTTATTTGTTATGAAGCTCATTTAGCACATGATTCCGGGTGTGTGTCTGTTACACCTGCCAGCCAGGCTATCGGCTCCTCAAGGAGCAAATTTTTTTCATCTTTTTATTCTTAGAATCATAGACACTTCCAAATATATAAGGTAAGCTATAGTTCTACTTGTAGGACCAAAGGGGTGAATGTAGAGGTGAGGCTCTTTCAACTACGAATTCTATACAAGACCGAAGACCCACAAAATAAGATGTGTTTGAACTTGCTCTGTCTGACCCAGGCTGCCGGCCCTGAGATGAGAAATGTTCCCTCAGAAGGGACGGTGTCATTTGAAGATGTGGCTGTGAACTTCACGTGGCAGGAGTGGCGGTACCTGAGTGAAGATCAGAGGACCCTGTACTGGGATGTGATGCTGGATACCTGCAATCACCTGGTGTCCCTAGGTGAGGAAGCTCCAGTGTAACACTCTAGTGCAATGCTGTCTTCTGCACCGATAAGTGTGCACTTGCTTATGAAACTGAGTGTTGGTGAGGTTGAACATGGCAGGCAGTATGCATTGTGGGTGTTTCGGTTTTCATTTGGAAAGATTCAGATTGGCCTCTTTTGCACAGCTCGTCACACTGCATTTATTACTTTTCAAAGACTGAAGTTGAACTTGAATGAAGACCAACACTGTTTCTCATCACAGGGCACTGTGTTACCGATCCTAAGGAGAGCATCAGGTCGGAGCAGGGATTACAGTTGTGGACTGTGGATGATCCCCCAAACCAGGACCACTCAGGTCGGTCAGTGCTTGCCAGGCCGGGAGGAGAGGAGAGGCTGGGAGGAGGCTGGGAGGTGCTTTTCCAGTGTCCAACCTTGGAGAGTGTGTCTGCATATATCAAACTGACTCTTTATTCAGTTCCCAAATATTACTCTCTTGTGAATTTCGTCCTGCTCTTTTAATGATAGTTGTCTATGTTCTTAAGCCAGTATGCAGTCCCTGATACATGGGGATTATTCTGCAGTAATCACGTATCTCTATTCTCTCTCTCAGTGTATTCTCATAGACTGTTTTCTTTAGGTACCTGTTGAGGAATTTTTTTATTCTTTCCGTATGTTTATGGGAATTTTTAGCCAGAGATAAATTTTCTATGACAGGGGAGAACAACAGTACTCACAGAAATGATCTTTACATTCCGAAGCTATACACTCTGTGAGGAAAGAATATATAATAAATACATTTATTAATAGAGAGGTAAAGCCACAGAGGATGTTTGACCAGCATGAAACAAAGTGGAGGATGTTGTTTTTGTGTGTGTGCTCCATATGCATCATTATAGAGATTAATTCTTTTCTTTCAGAGCTCATGTGAGGTGAATGGCTTGCACTGACATGTCATATCTACAGTTCCCCTGCAGTCTGGGATAGAGGCTATGTATTGCTATTGGAGATGTCACTGAGCAGGTGACTAACTCAAAAGGGATAGAGGGGCGTTGACTGGAGAGTTATTTAGAACATGATTAGTGTTCCAGGGGCAAGCCTTGTGACCGCCCTCATAGTAATTGTGAGGCTGAGGAGGACCCAGAATTGTTCAGTGTTGGAAGGAATGTTCTGTGACATGGGAGGGTGAACCTGAGGTGGTGGTTTCTAAAGCCATGGAACCAAGAGTTTTAGGTTGGGGGCTCATACCTTGGGGAGCAGTGTGACCTGTGCAATTCCACCTTCTCGTGGGAATCATTGGGAGGAAAGTAAAGGAATTGACGACAGTGTGATGTAGCTGAGAGTCACACATGGCATAGAAACTGGAGCTGCTATGAACAAAGCAGAAACACAGGTTCCAGGGAGTGCGGTGAGAACACCAGGATGTTGCTCTCAGAAGGATGTGGGAAAAGACGTTAACACTGATAGCACAGGATGGATGCAGAACTTTTTTCCTATCGCTTAGCAGGGAACGTGGGACACACTGATGAGGCGGAGTTTGCTGCATGTATTAGGATTCTGAGCCTTATGTGATATGATATTTAAATATGAACTGACTGGTCTCTGCCGTGGTGGGAAGCACATGCCTCTGAGAACCTCTGCAGGTGACCGTGGCCCGGGCCGGGGTCAAAAGAAGAACTAAGGAAATGGAGAAGCAGAGTCCTTCTGTCTCAGCAGGCTTCTTGCTTAAAGTGCCTGGGCAATGACTGGGTCTCTCAGTCCACAGGTTTCTGGGAAATCCATGGCCTCTGTAGGGCTTGGTTATTCAGAAAGTACCCGCACGAGCTGCACAGGGTCAGTCTAAGAAAGAAAGTGTGTAGGATCTATGTTGGGTGAAATGCTTCTGGTTGAAATCGACAACTCTAGTTAAAAGACTATATATACCAAATATTTATGATTTTATAAAACCATTGTGAAATTAGTTTTACCACTTTGTTATCCTGGTTTGGCATTAGAAAATCTGTTAATTGCGGCCTCCCTGGAGGCCTAGGGAGTAAGTCTCTTAGCTCTCACTATGATGGCCTGAGTTTGATCCACAGTGAAGTTTACCGACTTTGGCACAGCAAATCTCTCCTGTCTCACCCGCTGCTCCCCTCAACAGTGTATTTCAGTCAGTCCTCCTGTTCTGGTCAACACACTGTCTCCACACTCCCCTACAGCACCCCCACTCCTGCACCTCTGGCCTACACCCCAGATCTCCTATGCTAAAGTAAAAAATACCAAAAAATCTATTCTCCCCATAATTTACTACGGGCAAAAAGCATGAATCAGAAAATCAATACCTGCAAATTATGTTGTAATATAGGAACTTTTGTGCCGCAGAGTAGTATTCACTCAGAATGCTTCCTTTTTAGAGACATGGTCATTTTTATCTCACTTTAGATGTCCATACTGTGGATCACCTGACTCAGGACAGCCCTGCAAATCAGGGCAGACATGTGTGGCAAGTTTAACCACCAGCAGCAAAATACCATCCAACGAGAGAACTGACTTAATGGAAAAAAACAATTTGCACTCAACTCATTGTTTGAACCATAGTATCAAAAATGAAAACAATTCAGCGATGATGCCTGAGAACTTTACTATACATAGGACCATGATGATCCCTGGTGAAACTCATGAAGGGCATGCTGGAGAGAACGAGGAGGTCTTTATTAGAATGAGGGAACCCATCAAGTATCCTGAGCACCTTAGTCACCAGGTGATTCAGAACTTTCAACAGCCTTTTGAATTTCGTGAACAAGGAAAAGTCGTGAGTGAAGAAACAGTATTTACACCTAGAGGAGCCCTTCTGGAAGGGATTGTCCGTAAATGCAATGAGTGCAGGGACACCCGTGATGAGGCACCTTTCGTTGTCCGAGACAGAACCCAAGGAGAACAGACTCGCTGCAGTTGTAATGAAAAGGGGAGAGCTGCGGAGATGACTCCAGTGCATTTGAATCCTCGTTGGTATGTTGAACATGAGCAGCAGAAATGTTATGAAAGTGGGGCCAGTCTCAGAAACACATTTCACACCTATCCACGTGAGAGTACCCAGTTAGGAAAGAATAATTTGGGATATAAGAGATATGGTGAAGCGGCCTCTAAAACCTCTGTTCTGACTGAACATCAGAAAACACAAGCAGACGATCAACCTGATGAGTGTAGGGGCACCTCTGAGATTTCCTTACAGAGGGGATACCAGAGAAATCTCACTGCAGTGAAGCTGTTTGGCTCTAACGATTATGTGAAAACTTACTCATGGAAGACTGCCCTCACTTTACATCCACAGTCTCAAACGGGAGTGAAGCGCTACCCGTGTCAGGTGTGCAAGAAAACTTTCAGGCGGAAACCTGCTTTTACTGTCCATCAGAGAATTCATACAAGGGAGAAATCCTATGAATGTCAGGAGTGCAGGAAAGTGTTCTCCGGTAAGTCAGTTCTTGTTCTACATGAGAGGACTCACACTGGAGAGAAATGCTATGAATGTGAAGGGTGTGGGAAAGCTTTTTCCAGGAAGTCTGACCTTACTGAGCATCAGAGAATTCACACTGGAGAGAAGCCTTACGAATGTCAAGAGTGTAGGAAGACTTTCCTCTGGAAATCATCCCTCAGTCTCCATCAGAGAATTCACACTGGAGAGAAACCCTATGAATGTGAAGGGTGTGGGAAAGCTTTTTCCAGTAAGTCATCCCTCAGTCACCATCAGAGAATTCACAGTGGAGAGAAGCCTTATGAATGTCACAAGTGTAGTAAGACTTTCCAATGGAAGTCATCCCTCAGTCAACATGAGAGAAGTCACACTGGAGAGAAGTCTTATGAATGTCAAGAGTGTAAGAAGACTTTCCTCTGGAAATCATCTCTCAGTCACCATCAGAGAAGTCACACTGGAGAGAAACCCTATTATTGTGAAGAGTGTGGGAAAGCTTTCTCTAGTAAGTCATCCCTCAGTCTCCATCAGAGAAGTCACACTGGAGAGAAACGCTATGAATGTGAAGGGTGTGGGAAAGCTTTTTCCAGTAAGTCTTACCTCAGTGAGCATCAGAGAATTCACACTGGAGAGAAGCCTTATGAATGTCAAGAGTGTAGGAAGACTTTCAAGTGGAAATCATCCCTCAGTCACCATCAGAGAATTCACACTGGAGAGAAACCCTATGATTGTGAAGGGTGTGGGAAAGCTTTTTCCCGTAAGTCACACCTCATTAGACATCAGAGAAGTCACACTGGAGAGAAACCCTTTGATAGTGAAGGGTGTGGGAAAGCTTTTTTTTTTTTTTTTTTAGTAAGCCACACCTCATTGCACATCAAAGAATTCATGGTGGAGAGAAATCTTATGAGTGTCAAGAGTGTGGGAAGGCTTTCCGCCAGAAATCATCCCTCAGTAAACATCAGAGAAGTCACAGTGGAGAGAAGCCTTATGAGTGTCAAGAGTGTGGGAAAACTTTTTCCAGTAAGCACGCTCTCACTGGACATCAGAGATGTCACTGGACAAAATCCCTATGATTATGAAGAGTGGGAAAACTTTTCAGGAAGTCAGCCCTCACTAGCCCTGACAAACTCCACACTGGAGGGAAATGCTATGAATGTCAAAAGTGAGCAGGCAGGCCTCCCCTGGTGGTGCAGGTGGTTGAGCACAGTGCTGTGAAACTGTCCGTGGCCTTTGCGGTGGGAGTTTGATTCCCTGTGGCTGACCTCTCCTGTCTGGCCCGCTGCGTGTATTTCAGCAGTGTATTTCGGTCAGTCTGCCTGTTCTCTTCCCCTCTCTGTCTCTGGTGCATCCTCTCACCCTCCCACACATCTGGCCTGTACCCTGGTTCTGGTATGCTTGAATAAATAAAAAAATCTTTTAAAAAATATTCATACTTAGGAGCTCAAACCACATCATGCAGCTGAGAGCAATGGGAACTCACATACAGTTTCAATCCTAATTGCGTGGAGTTACCTGGTTCACTCTGCTCTCCCAAGTTCATGCAGTGACGATGTCGCTGTTCCTGTTGCTTCTAGTATCCTCTTAAGTTCCTGGGCGATGCTATGCCTGTCCACAGCAGCTGTCTATCTACATGGCACACTGCATGTTTTGTGGGTAAGTAATCTCTCTGGGTTTTCTAACTTAGTTGTCACGTTCTGTCCAGTACTCTAAGCCTCTGTGGTGCCCCCTGATGCTGGAATTGCTCACCTCCAAAATGTCCTCCTGTAGATGGAAAAGTTGAACTGTGTGCTATCGGCTATAGGTTGAGGTCTGCAGCTTTCTTTACCTACCTTTCATGATGAAGGTTTTTCAGGGCCTCCCTGGTGGCCTTGGGGTTAAGTCTCAGCGCTATTGCCTGCTCTGGCCAGGGTTTCAGCCCCAGGTAGGGAGCCGCCCCACATATGGCCGCAACAGGCTTCTCCTGTGTCACCCGCTGCTCCCGTTAGCCAGGTATTTCAGTGGTTCTGCCTGTTTGTCGCCACACTCAGTATCTGGTGAATCCTCTCAACCCCGAACCTCTGGTCTACACCCCAGTTCTACAAAATTAGGGCATTTTGTTGGAAGATTAATTCTGCATACAAGATCTGGTGTGCAAGCCAGAGGTATGAGGTTGTGAGAGGATTCTCCACAGAGAGAGTGGGGAGCACAACAGACGGATCTACTGAAATCCACTGCTGAGGGGGCCAGTGGGGAGACAGGAGAGGTCTACTGTGCCCGTGGATCACCTCCCTGGCCAGGGATCGACCTTGTGTCTGCAGTACTGAGAACAGCTTCATAGTGCTGAGACTTCACCCCTGCACCAACAGAGGCCCCTGAAATTTTTTTAAAGGAAAGGATTCTTGCCTGTTAATTTTTTTTTTATTAAATTGTTGTTCATCTTTGTGCAATATTGGATTGCTCCCCTTCTGTGTAATTCTTGCAAATGTCCTGTCTGCACCGCCCCTGTGACCCGTCACCCCAGGCCCTGGTGCTCCTCCTCCCCTCCTGGCCCCTCTTCTGCCCTGTCCCCTGCTGGCATCTCAGCTCTGTCATCTGCCTGCTAGTTTTGTCTTTTTCCCCTGACCCTTTCTTCGTTCCCCTGTATTCCTTCTGGAGGTGATGATGTAATCCAGGTCTTTTTCCTGCACTCTTTGTTCAGAACATAATCCTTTCTGCCATTGCTGGCCGTGCCCTGAATGTGGTCTTTGTCTGAGTCAGTTCATACCTTGGGGTGAGTGGTCGGTGTGGAAGGTGGTGGCTGAGGAAGTCCTTGATGTAACTCTCGCTACCACCCCCCCTCAGGGGTCCCGGGCACCTTCTGGTGTGTTTCTTTGGCGCCGTGGTGATGCCGAGCGGAGAGTTTGTGCAGCAGGTCTGGAGTCTGAGGCCTCGGGTGTGCTCTTCCTCATTTCTTGTCTTTGGTGCGAAAGTACTTCCAAGTGGAGCCCAGAGTTCTGGAAGAGCCAGAGATTTACTCACAGGAGTAAGGACAAGAAAGCTCCCTGAGCAGAACGGTCCTGAGGGGTGGCCGCTGGGGCCGAGAAGCAGGGGCTCCCACGGCTGTGGCGGGCAGGGAGCGGGGGCTGGTCGTGGGGATCTCTGCCGCATGTCTCTTGCTGAAGGGCTTGGCCTGAGGTCTCTCCCGAGGCTCCGAGGCCTGCTGAGTTTGCCCCCATTACTCGCCTGCGTGCCCACACCTAGCCTCGGTCTGTGGGTTTGCAGTCATGCCCTGTGTCAGCTCCGCGGCGTCCTCTCCGCAGGGCTGGGCTCAGGGCCCGTCCATCAGGGATTGTTTCTCTGATCATGGATTTGGGACTTGGGCACCCGCTCCTCCCTGCCCGCGCCCTCTACCCAGCTTCCTCCATCAAGAACATCTCTACGGCCAGAGCCCCCGTCCTGTTTCCAGTCGGGTGACTGACGGGGTGTCTGTACCCTGAGAGCATCCTCCCTGATTCTGGGGGAGGTACATTGGTCCCTTCAAACTCCACCTGGAGTGTTGGGGCCACGGGCCATATTCCTCAACACGCCATGGGAGGTCGCTGAGGTTTTCACCCCCAGGCCGCAGACTGCTTTCCACGATGTTGCAGGCTCCTAGGTGTTCTCGAGCGCCCATTAAAGATGGCATTGGGCCCCTCAGCCTTCACCTCAGACCTGGTCCAAAGAGGCCTGCAGCGTTTGCTAAGACAACGCTCCTCTGCTAGTGCCATGTTCCCTAGAAGTGTCTGTTGCTGTGACGTGACCCATGTGGACTGTTGCAACAAGGGTCACTCTCTGCTCTGAAGGTGAGGGGTTCAGGGGGTCATGTCACGTTCCCCTGCAGGTGTGTTGGGGCATCCAGGGGTGTGGCGGGTGAGGCCTCTGCAGATGGGTGGGCAGCCCAGGTGGGTGGTGATGGTGTTGGCGGAGGCCCAGGAGAGACCTCCACCGTGCTCCGTATGGACCTTGCCCAGCTCAGCCGCATCCCAGGGTCAGGACGCGCAGGATCAGCACAGCCCAGAGACACTGTCCATGCTCCAGCGGTGAGGACACTACAGGAGCCCTGAGCTCCAGGGACAGGGAGTGGACCGGGGCCGGGGAGCACTCCCCAGAGACGAGTGGGGAGCAGAACAGGCAGATCCACTGAAATCCACTGCTGAGGGGAGCCGCGGGGAGTCAGGAGAGGTGCTGTGCCCTGTGGGTCAGCTCCCTGGCTGGGGATGGAGTTCTTACTGCAGTGGCTATGGCTCAGCTTCATGGTCTGAGATTTACGGAGCAGGGAGGCTATGGGTCCATTCTTGTGTGGGGCGCTTATCCTTCGGATATGGGGACAAGAGGTGTATGCTACTTGCAGGTCTGTGCCATCTCCCTTGGTCGCCCCCACCCCTAAGTTCATCCCCTGGATGAAAAGGAATGTATCCATAAGATACTGAGGTGGATGGCAGGTCTTGGGCTGCTAGGTTCTCTTTCTGTGGAGAAGCAGAACTGCTCGGGAAGAACATGTTCATCTTGGTAATGTAGCCAGGCTAGAAGACAAAGAGTAGTTTGTCTTTGTTAACAGTTAAGTAATGAGCAGAAAGAACGCAGGTCTATTTTGGGGATGTATGTAAGCCTTCGGGGACACCCTGGTTTCAGAAATAAGGGTTACACGACAGAATGAGTGTTCGTAATGCCACCAAACTCTGCATTGAAAAACATATGTCTTCCTAAGTACAAATAATGAACTAGAAGAGGAAATTAACAAAGCCATGTCACCTACAATTGCACACGCAAAAAATTAACAGAATAAACTTAACAGAGGAGGTGAAAGACTTTTACAAGGAAAACTATCAAACATTGTGGAAAAAAAATAGAAAGTGTAGAGAAATGGAAAGAGACACCTAGCTCATGGGGTGGACGAATCAACATTGTCCAAAGGGCCTTCCAACCCAAAGCCCCTTCTAGATTCACTGCAACCCCAATAAATATCCCAATGGCATTATTCAAAGGAACAGAACAAAGATTACTGAGGTTCATATGGAAACACAAAAGACCCCAAATAACCAAAGCTTTCCTGATTAAAAGCGGGGGGAAATGAAGGAGTCACACTTCTGATCTCAAACTAAAGGTAAAGGGGCTCCCTGGTGGCCAAGGGGTTAAACACAGTACTCTCAAACTACTGCCAGCCACTGTGCACAAGTTGGATCCCTAGCCTGCCAGGGAGCTGACGGACATGTGCCTCAGACCTCTCCTGACTGGCCTGCTGCGCCCCTCAGCAGTGTATTTTGTCAGTCGGCCTGCTCTGTTCCCTGCTCCGTCTCTGGTGAATCCTCTCAACCCCGGCATCTACGGCCTGTGCCCCAGCTCTTGTGTGCATAAATAAATATTAAATATTCGTTAAACAAGTATTTTGGAAAGCCACATAATTGAGCTAGAGTTACCTTATCAAATTCTTAGTTATAAATTAATCTGACTTGTGATATCATTTTGAAGAATACTAATAATAAATATGTGTAGATTCATGAAACAAATCTGTAAAAACTTGGATGTGTGCAAGATTATGTGGAACATCCTGAGAGACGGAAAATAAATCCCGAGAGCAGGCCAGGATGAGCTGCTCACCTTCTCACAAGCAGGGATGAGCATCAAGCAGTCTCAGGCGGGGAGAGGCAGCCTTGTTTCCAGCTCGTGTCCTGAGACTTTCCTGGGCTTGGCTGCGGGGACCGACATGTCGGCCAAGGTGAGGTGAAGTGTGGACTCTCTCTCCGTCCTGAGGACAGAGTGATCGGGGCCGTCCTCCTGCGGAGAGCTGGGGTGGAGGGTATGGACGCTGCTCGGGGCACTGTCTCGCGGTGACTCTGCGCACCCTGCTCGGTGGCCTTTCGGGGTGAGCTGAGGAAACAGTGTGAAGGACACGTGAAGTCTGTGAAAAGGCCCCCGGCGCTCGCCGCGGTCACTGCTGAGTATCCCGGGAACATTTTCCCTCTGCGGCGAGCCCTGTGCTGGCTCCGGCGGCTCCGGGATCTCCAGGGACGCTGTCTGGGTAAGCCTGAGCTGCCGCCTCCTGGGGCCTAAGTCCCAAACTCACAGTGGGAGGTTCCCGGGGCAGGGGGAGTCGGGGTGCAGAGGTGGCCCTTGGCGGGTGGATTCCTCCATCGGGCGCGAACGTCCTCAAGGCTCTCCCGAGGGATTCCCTCCACAGCGGCCGGCGAGGCCCGCGGAGGAAACAGGGTGACCACGGGCGGCGATGGTGGGGGGGACCTGCACCCGCCCAGGCAGAGGCAGCCCTGGCACCGTCGCCCCCATGACACCGCAGGTGTGTCCTCCCTGCGCTGCGACAGTCTCGGCCCGTCAGGAGCTTCAGCCCATCCCAGGCACGTCCTCCCCGCCCGGCGGGGTCTGAGCTAGTGGCTCCTCCTCCGGGTTCTCAGTCCTCCCTTGACTCTCCCAGGGCACTGCTCCTTGAGCGCCACTGGACACGGGGTATCCCCAGGGGTCGTGCGGGCTGCTGTCCTCAGAGTGTGGAGAGATGAGTACGTGCGGGGTTTGTTCTGTGTCTGTCACTCACCTCCTTCGTCTTCTCGGGGGGCGTGATGTCGAAATTGGGAATTTAAAAATTCCTTTTGTTACAGGAGGTGGGGTGACCGCAAAGCCCCCAGAATATCTGCTCTAGAAAGGGT